GTGACGGAAGTCTATTGCCTGCATTGGATGCTCATGAATAAAAAGAATCCTGCCTGTTTGCACCCAGAGGCTCAGGCTACTGAAGAAACTAAGAACAGCACGCTTATCTTCAGACACCAACCCCACACTGCAGGAAGGTAAATATAAATCTATTTCTCATCTTTAATCTTGCACGTGTAGTTTTATTACCAGTAGTAGTATTTCCTCGCTTTGCAAATGACAGTAGCACAGGTGGGTAAGGCTGGGACCAGGCTTAGCAGGAAGACTGGGAATACCTTGCTCATGAGTAACCGGCCTCGTCACTGCCCTGCTTTCTCTAGACCCATCTCTGCAGCGCTCCCAGCGCGGCCCTGGCTCCTGGGCCGCCTGCTCTGGGACGCACACGTCCTTGCTCTCCCGGTGCAGCGGCTCCTTGGCGGTGCTCAGGACCGCTCATGGCCCCTGATGGATTCTGGAGTCATGGAAGAAAGGCTCGTCTGAGTACAGTAGAAGAGCTACCACCCGAGGTGCCGGCGGGGACCTGGGGGTGGCGCAGGTCTCCCAGGACAAATATTGCCCATTTGTTTCTGCTGACTGCAGAGACCAGCAAGCTGATGAACTAAACATAATAATAATAATAATAATATTAATAATACATATACCGAAAGGGGAGTGGGAGAATCAAATGTATGACATCCATGCATGTTTTCCAGAGGTTAAGTTGCCAGGGGGTAACTCTTTTCTGTAAGTTAAGAAACGGATGTCTTGAAACTTGAACAGTAACCTTGTCTAATGCTGAAAGAGTGGAAACATTTACGAGGCTGAAGCTAGAATCTTTCCTGGTTTTGATTTAAAACCATACTGGAAACCTTCGATTACATCCTGTAATACCGAGGACCAGATTCATAGCTCCACTGTGAAGCAGAGAAAGAAAACAAAGGGTCTGTTTGAGAAATTAGCATCTTATCCATCTTTCCTCAGGTCATTTACATGAAATTCACATCATTTTCTTCCAGTTATTGGCTATGGGTGTCCAAGGGTATGTTTTTTTCTTCTGTTTCCAGCTCACAGAACAAACAGTACTATCACAGATTCACCAGCACAAGTGCACACACACCAATACAAAAGGTCACGTTAATGCTTAAATGAAGAGGTCCTCTCCCAACAATTCATTAAAATATTTGTTTTGCTAAAAAGTCATTTTGGGAAAACACAACACCCTTGATGACATGGGAGGATCTGGTAAGTAGTTAAGGCACTGGCACGGGCGCGTGCTGCGGTGGCGCCCAGTGGCGCGGGGGCTATGGCACTGGGTGAAGGGCCACGCTCTGCTTGTGTCTCTCGCTCTCCCTCCCTAACAGCTGGAGGGCACCGAGGAAACGTTGTGAGGTGCAGACGCGGAGGCTCTGCTGGCTTTTGTCTGTGTGCTGAGGGGGACAGGGCGGGCTGTCACTCCATCCCCAAGAGCTGTGGGGCACTGTCAGCGGCCAAGACGGGGGCACCGGGCCTCTTGCCACGTGGCTCCGGAAGGTCCTGCACCAGAGTGGCCGGGCTCTCCAGGTCAGGGCCACCCACCTGAGCCGCCGTGGCCCGCTCCTCCCGGCGACTGCTCTCTTTCCGGCTCCGGGTGACGGCCATGTGGTTGCTGGTGCTGGGCACCACCTCGGCCTCGTTCTCTGAGACGGGGTTGTTGCCGCTGTGGGTGGACCCGTCTTCACTGTCCTCCTCACCCCGCTCGTCCCTGTCGCTGTCCTTCCCGTGGTGTCTGGGGTGCCTGGCTTTCTGGTGGATCCGCTGGTGGCGAACCAGGCTGTGCTTCAAGGTGAAGGTTCGCTCGCAGGTCTGACATTTGTATGGCCTTTCCCCTGGAGCAGAGGGAGGAAGAAATAACACGTCCATTAACAGTGAGGCCACCAGAATCCCTCACCTGCTCCACCCAGATGACAAGCACACGGGCAGTGTGTGGCAGGGCTCAGACTCAGGGAGGGACCTCTTCTCTGTCTGCTCTGGCAGACTGGGGACAAGCACACAGACCCCATTCTGTCTCCTGCTCCCCTCTCGACCCAGGTGTTCTACACACTGACCCAGGAAACCAGAACCGAAGCAAGGGAAGCCTTGGGGGACACATACCCGGCCTTGAATCCTGTGGAAGGACAGGATGGACCCCTCCCAGGGACCCTGTGGAGACAGCAGCACCTCCTAAGTCAAAGGCACGAGGTACTGCCTGTGCTCGAGGGCAGAGCAGCTGGGGCTCTTCCCGAGGGCCACATACCGAGCTGCCTGACTGGGACCACCACCTGCCGGAGCCCACGGCCCACTGGCTGCAGCTGCGAGGGGAGGAAAGCTGACACCAGGACCAGGGCCTGGGGCTTTATAGGGGGTGAGGGAGGGAGTGCGGAATGGAGGAGGAGGAAGGACGTTTGTATTGTTTGGCCCCACGAGTATGTCAAGGTCTCTTCCCTTCTGCCAAAACAAAGGGCCCTGCTTTGGGGTTTGTAACCTCAACCCCATAGGTGGTGAGAGAGTTCTAGGACGGGCACTAATGCTCCGCTGTGCCAATGCAGCAGCTGAGTGAGGACCCTGTTACAGTCCCATCACCCCAGCTGTGCGGGCTGAGAAAGGAAAAGCCCCACTGACTGCTAACAGAGGACGCGGGGCCCCTTCCCAGCAGCGGCCTAGGCAGCGTCTGCCTCCCTCACACAGCCCCACAGTCCTTCCCAGAGTCAGGACTGGACTAGATGAGACCACGTGGCCCTGAATGCACACACACGCCTGCTTCTGGATACCCGTATGGGCCAGGGCAGCCACTGTCCCAATCCGCAGACGGGAAGACCCAGGCTCGGAGGATCTAGGGGGTGGATCAAGACCCTCTCAAAAGCACTCCTGCTGCCACTTTCCTGGCTCACTGCAGGGGGCCTGCATGGTTTCAAGGGCTAAAAGGGAGACTTCCTCAAACTCCTAGTTTACCTGGGCTTAAAGGCCACACGTGCGGCCTGAGTCAATTCCCTCTCGGGGCCTCCAGCACCAGTGTCTGTGGCCACGGCAGGGGAGGCTCCTGCTGACTGTGCTGGGCCAACCCGCCTCCCTGGTGGGCTGGGGCCCGGCCGTTCGCCCCGTACCTGTGTGCGACCTCATGTGCCGGGTCAGGTCCTGCAGGGACCAGAACCGCTTGTTGCACACGCTGCACACCTTCTTCCTCTTGTCCGCCTTGCTGGCCGCACTCCTGGGGGAGTCTGTCTTTGGCTTCTTGTCGTCACCACTCTTTTCCGAGGACTTCTCGGCCGCGCCCTCCCCATCAGAAGGACCCTCCGCCTCCTCGTTCTGCTTCTCCCCTGAGGCCTCCCCGGTGTCCGAGGCTGGCTCCACTGCTGCTGGGGGCTCGGCGGGCTTCTCCTCTGGCTCCACGGCGTGGACAGGCCCCTCGGCCGCTCCACCCTCGCCCTCCAGAGCCAGGGGCAGCGCCTCCTCCTCATCCTGGGGCTCCCGGTGGCCGTGGGCCCTCCTGTGGCGGCTCAGGGTGCCGAGGAACTTGAAGCTCTTCCCGCAGGTGTCGCAGGCGTGCCTCTGGTCCTGTGGGGCACAGCCTCCGCTGCCTGCGGCGCCGGCCTCGCCCTCGGCCAGCCTGAAGCCCATCAGCTTGCTGGCCAGGCCGAGGTCCAGGCTCCGGTTGCTGGCCGCGTCTTCCTCCGGGCCTTCCCCATCCCCCTCCTCCATGCCACACTCTTCCTCCGGCTCCTGGTTCTCCTCGGCCTCCTTTTCCTCTCTGGTCACAGGGGAGGTGGTCCCGGCCTTGACCGCCTCCGCAGGGGGTTCCTCTGCGACCTGGCTGAGCTCAGTGTCTCCCTCTGATGGCGGTGGCAGTGGCGGTGCTGGCTGCTGCTGCTGCAGCTGTTGCTCCTTGTCACGCGCGGTAAGGTCCAGCACCTCGCCTGCTGTGGCGGCAGTCTCTGTGTCCGACTGGCTATCTGCGTGAGCAAGCACAGGGCAAGGGCTTCAGAGGGGACACCGCCACGGACACCTGGGCCTCCGACCCAGCAAGGGCTCCTCTCTCTCCAGACCCTCATCACCCCTGACATCCCCCAAGGAGGGCCAAGAGGAATCTGGGGACTCAGAAAAGGCAAAAGCAGCCTCTGCATCCCCGCAGGGGTGCACGGGGCTGGCTGTGCCCAGGAACTCCCGGCCTCCACTGCCACGAACAGGACGCTCAGCTGGCCCTGGCCCCGGAAGGCGTGAGTGACTCAGGCAGCGCAGGCAGGCACTGGGGGACAGGAGAGGGTGCATTCCAGAGACTTGCAGCACTAGGGAGGTTGAGGAAGCTGAGGTGTGTAAAAGTTATTCTTCCAGTGCAAAGAGATTATAGACATGCAGCATACACAGGACCACCCCACCAAGTCTTCCAAAACATGGTCTCTGATGGGTTTCTTAGAAAATGACCCCAAGCCTGTACTCCATGTATAGGGCACTTACGCTGTTGCCTGACAGCTCGTTTGCAAGGAAAGAGCTTGGAGGTCAGAGGAGACGCATGCACACCTGTAGGCTTCTGGCTGCTGTCAGCACCCCAGAGTGCTGGGCCCCCTTGACACCAGGCTTGCAGGAGCACATGGGGGTTGGGGGGAGGCTGTGAGAGCTGCAGGTACTTGTGGGGATGAGGAATTCTGGCTGCAGGTATCTCGCTGGCCCTGAGTTCATGTCTGTTGACTAGTTCCTATCTGTCCACACTCCATAGCAAAACTAAACGGGAAAAGTCTACCAGTTCTCAATGACCCTCTTAAGGAATGGCATGGAGACATTAGTTACACCAAACAGTGTCAAAAGTACCACCCTCTCTTTATTCAGGTAGAATGGGGACTTAGCTTTTTTTAAAAGATGTGCTATGATAGTGAGGCTGAAGCTGGGTGGGACCTACTATTTAGTTGTAGATCCCACAGCCAACTTATTACTGCAGGGATTCAGAAGTTCCTCCGAGAATCAGGTGGATAAAATTTGTGGTCTTTTCGCACATATGTGAGCTGCCTCTCCTTCAACATGCCAGATTTCTGATTACAGTGCTTGAGTCAGCAAAGATTCACACACCTACCCTGGATGTGACCAGATGTATGCAACCCACGTCTGCCGTCCTCTTCAATGTCACAGGCTCGATGATCTGCCCTCAAGGGTGACGGGGCTGGGGTAAGGAGCGGGAACTGCTCCTCCCGTGGGCTGAGAGACAACACCTACTATCCACACCTGCCTGGGGACCATCTGTACAGCATTCCAGTATCTCATCTCACTGGTTTTATTCTGACTGCACCTTTTGGCAGCCGCTGTTTGGGTATCTCAAGAGGTTTCAGAAGGAAACAAATAATGATGGTGTGAATATAAAATTTTTGACATGATTTTTGAAATTATCCCAAAACTTATAGAACAGGAATCCTGAGATATGCACACCCATGTCTAGGCTATCTCCTAAGGAAAAACTAGATGCTCATTGTCTTGAATCATTCCAATAAAGAGCATCTATAGGACGAATCTTGGTCTAAACTCTACGATAAGCATACAGAATGCTCAGCTTATTTGCTGACTTTGTGGCAATTTAAAAAAAGGCTTAACCTCTGGTTACTTCTTTGTCCCTGTATATCCTAGGCTGTTTCTATTATTATTTCAACTGTATAAAATATATTTAAGAGAATAAACCTTGAAAAGAATCAAAATGAACTCTGAAACCAAACACTTCCTCAGTGCACACAACACAGAGCTCACCCTGAGCACCGTCAAAGCCAACTCATCTCCCCTTGGACAAAGGGAGCCTGGCTGTCCTCTACCAGACTTCCACTAGGGGGAGTGCTTTAGCGGGGAGCCTGGGCCCTTGGAGGTGAAGCAACTCCCAGTGACTTTTATTACAGATTCTCCTGAACAGCAGACTTAGCCTCTTCACATGTCATGAACATGCAATTTATAAGGCCAAGTCCTACTTTGATCTCCACCCTCCTCAATACCCATCCTTTCAAATGTAGGCAGCTGAGCTGATGGCTTTTCATAAGCAATGCTACCTTGGAGACATGCATTTCTTCTCTGTACCCACAGTCCCTCATAGTGGTGTTAAAAGTCTTAGAAAATTGCTAGAGGAAGCAGAAGGAATCCTACTAGACAATAAGCCCACAGCTCCTCCTACACAACAGTGGTCAACAATGGAAGATCTACTGCTTCCTAGAAATTGTTAACTGAAGTGACAGACTACCAACCTACACACCTAGTCTGATTGGGCAGGAAGCTGCTGTCTGCACTTTACCTAACACACTTGAACGCTGAGGAGTATTTCCTGGGGCGTAGTCCAGGCTGGCACCTGGGACTTCTGGGTTGGTAAAGGTGACTGCCATTAAGGGAAAGCTTAAAAACTTTCACATTTGTACTGATTAAAAACAGTCCTATGTAGGTGCCTACCAATACGAAGGCTCTTCCAGGGATCCCAAGGAAGAACCGAGGGTTTCCCTCAAGGGCAAAGAGGGCCAGGGCGTCTCTCTGCCCAGGAGAGTGAGTGAATGAAGAGCTTCAGTTTAAACTTGAATATTCAATGTGGCCCCTTAAGTGAGAAGTGCCCCCACTGTAGCATTTTCGGCATTCTTTCGGGGGAAAATCTGGGGCATATTTCCACTAAAGACCTTATGTGACTGAAGTCAGACTTAGCTCAGTTGGTAATATCGTGGTGTTGTAACACCAAGGTAAGGGTTCGGTTCCCCGTACCGGCCGGCAGCCAAAAAAAAAAAAAAAAAAAAGTCAGACCTATATTATAAAACATATTTAGGAATTTTTTAAGAAAATGCAATCTAGGCGCATAAACCTAGAAAACCCTTCAAGAATTTACTCGGTCATTTCCTGCCCCGCCCTCCCTTTTTAAAATTGTCTTCCTCCAAGGCCTCACTTTTTAACTTCATGGGAGGGAGTCCCATGAAACCTCCACCCCATCTCCATCATGCTTACCTGGTTTTAAAAACTCTCCTTGAAATCACTAAACTCTACCTCCCTGATCTTTCTCTCCATCTCAGTCCCTTTCTCACCATGGACTGTGGCCACAATTAAACCAAACATATATTTTCTCTTTGCTGGTTTCACATTACAACTTTCAGTGAATTTCCTTTTTCCAGAGGCTTTGCCCCTTCCAGAAAACCTGTACAACTTCCGGGGCAGGACAGAGCTGGGGAAGGGTTTTGACAGGCATTTGGAAAAATAAAATTTGTAACTGCAAACCTCAAAAATAAATACAGCAATAGTGTGAAAGCTGGTGCCGAACCGGAGCTAAGACTGTAAATCTGAATTGAGCTTTGTGTCTGCAGGCTTCCTCCCTGGCCCTCAGACATCCCCAGGGGTCCCAGTTTGTGTTCCTCCCGAATGACCAAGATGCTAAAGGCAAAGTGAGCATCTGGCACATGGTTACTAGACTTGTTTATAAACACGGGAGCCCCAGGGAGCCCCTCAACTCCCTCAAATAGCAGCAGCTCTCCCTGCTTTGGAACCACTTTGGAAGGGATTTCTCCATCTCTAAACCAGGCTGAGAGAAAGTGCTCAGGACTAACAGGTACCGGTTACACATTAACAGGATGGTCTGCAGCAAGTGAGTGCTCTGCCAGCAGCACTGTGGGCTTCCCGTGTAATACACGGCAGATCATCTTGCGCTTGCGGGGATCCCAGTCACGGCAAGATTCTATGGGTGTGCGCACCTTTCTTTATTCAAAGACCCTGGCAAATTAGGTGGAAATGGAAGCTGGGGAAGGAGCGGACAAACCAGCCCACTCTGTTACACCTTCAGAGGGTCTGATGTGGACGGAAGGGTGGCCAGCTCAAGGGCACTCACGATCTGTCTCTCTCGGGCTCGCAGGGTAGCTTCTGCACCAGCGATCAATTCCTCCCATTCAAATACACCTCACTTCCCCCAGTAACTGCGATAAGGACAGGGGACTGGGGTTAATGCCCGACCTTCTGTCCACAATGACCCCCCGGGGTAGGGGTACCTCCCACACCACGTGGTACCCTTAGGAAAACATGGTTGTGGGAATCTTCTTGGCTTCAAGCAACGGGGAATGTGCAACTTTCCAGACCCGCAGAACTGAACCCAGCACCTGTAACGCAGAACTGTCCCCACCCAACAGCCAACCAGCTGAGTGTCTCGGTGAGCTGCAGCAGCCTGTGTTGTGTTGTTTTGTTTTGGGGGGTGGGAGGTGGAGAACCCAGAAGTCGGAGATGGCAGAGGGTACTGAGTAGAGGACATGAGTAAATACAGAAGCCGTGAGGGGGAAAAGGTGGCAGGAGACACATTGCGCAGCTGTTAATTGCTCAGGAGGGCTGGAGGGAGGAAGCGTGCGCCAGCACAGGAGAGTCACGCCCAGGGTCAGGTCAAGCAGAGATGTGATTAAGGAAAGGACATGCAGGGTGCTTTTTCAAACAAGGACACAGTTTCATACTGGGAAGAGAGTTATTGGAAAAAAAAGAACACTGCACCCGGCTATACCTCTCCCTGCTGAGGGGTCTGCACCCCTAGTTGCTGCCATGCCCTAACATCCAGGGAGCCCAGCCTGCTCTCAAGGAGGCCACAGAGGCTGGGCTCCCCAAGCCTTTAGGGATCCACCTCCCTCTTAGATGTGTTCACATCCAGAGCTAAAACTGCACGCCCTTCCTCACCTCCCACCTCCCCACAGCAGCAGCAAGGGTGTCTTCCACTGGGAGGGTGACGGATCTTCCCTACCAGCTCCAAAAAGTCACCTAGGGGCACTGCCATTGTTTCCCAAAGTCCCCAGGCTTCCGGCTCAAGAGTCAGCCCTGCTGACCCAGGAGTTGTGCTCCCGCCGGGGCCACCTTCCTGGGCTGCAGGCTCCGAGCCCCACAAAGAGGCAGGTGAGGCAGCCCCACCAGCCTCTGGGCCTCCTGTCTCTCCCTCTCTCACTTCTCCATCACCTGCAGGCACTACCTGTGCTATCATGGGATCCAACATCACTCTCTTTGGACTGGGGGATAAGCCCGTTTCTTCTCAGGGAACAGGTGGTAAGTCCGTGTTTGCGCAACTGGTGGCGTTCACAGTTAGATTTGGTAGAAAAGAAGGCATCGCATTTTTGACAAGGGAAGGGTTTCTGACCTGAAGCAGGAAAAAAAATATATATTTATCTGGCTTTCTACTGCAATGAGAAAGAAAAGTTGCTTTCGATTTATTCTCCTGGGATTAGTGGCATTTGTTCTCCCCTCCCCCACCCCCATCCTTTTCAGAAAATAAACAAAACACATTAAAAAAAAAAGGACTGAAAACACCAATGACTAAAATGATCATTTTTCCTCATCCTGAGTGGAATGGAACAAGTCTCTTAAAAATACTGAAAGACAGTTAACAATGGAACCAAGATATATATGTTCAGAGTAAAACAACGGTATCACAATTAGAAATATTAAGTAACAACAAAAAATAAAAATTAATGAAGGGGTTTTAGAGTACAGCAAGAAAAAGCCTACATTCGTGAAGAGAAGACACCTTTTAATGACTTCGAACACTGTAAGTAACATGGTGCTGGGAAATCAGATGGCAGGAGGGAGCCCAGGCCCCCGGAGGGATCTGGAACCCCTGGATATTGTCCGGGACCCATGCAGAACCCCCCACTCAATGTGGCTGGTCCCTCCTGTCTGACTCGAGACGTCCTGCAGTGACCTCTACCCAAGGTCATCGTGGTCCTAGGCTGGCAAGAGACAGGAGGTCGTCTCGTTACATTAAAGGGCTCTTTGTTCCCTTTGCTGGGTAGTAAGTGAGCCATACAAGATCACATGCTCCACTCAACAGACGTGCACGTGAGGAGAGAACGCTGGGCAGGCCCCTCTCCACCCACCTCCACTCCACGAGCGTGGTGGACTGTGGAGCGAGGAGCCCTCCCTCCCCCAGGAGTTTCCCGCCTATCCTCTCCTTTTATTTGGATTCATTTTGTACTGTAAACACCCTGTTTCAAAATGCAGTCAAAGCTCCCCTGTAACTTGCCCCGGGTTTGTGTGGACGGATGTGAGGGAGGAAGAGAGGGAGCGAGTGTGGATGAGAAAAAAGGTGGTGGGGGGATCAGGTGGCTCCAAGAGACAGAAGACAGGGGACATCATGTGCTGGATCACTGGATTCTTCCTCTTCCCCCAATTGCTAGATTCTACGGTCCCAGTCTCCAGTTTTACAGGGAAAAGGCTTCCCATGTCATAGCAACACGACCTCAGTGCTATGGCCCGGTACTTTCATAACCCGGGGACAGCATAGTCTAATACATGTGTCAAGACACGGCAGGAAGAGGCCACAGGCATGGCTCCCCAGAAACCCACGTCATAGGCCTGGCACTGGGGGCGAGCCAGCGGGGGGCCACTTGCTTTCCCAGGGAAAGGACTAGCACCACCACGTTGGACAACACCTGGGGGTGCCATTCATGCAGGCTGTGAAGGTGCGGGGCCAGCACCGCTGACACAGCAGCAAGGCCAAGTTCGTGCATCAGGAGCAGTCGAGGACGGCACATTTATTCCCTCCTGAGCTAAAAGACCCTTTGAGGTGATGCTTCCAAACCTCCTTTCAGGCTTTTTAGGAACACAGATGTCTGGAGCAATCAAAGACCACAGAATCAGAAACCCAGGCATCCAGCCCGTGTGCTTTCAAAGAGCTCCAGAGGGGGCCTGCACATAAAGTGGAGAACCCACTGACTGCTTTACAGTGTCCCTCTACAAAGTTCTGTAGGTGTTTTCTGCTAAATTTAGGAAACAATCCACGTTTTAAAAAAAAATCACTTTTGCATGATTATCTGTAACATATTTCAATGCTTATGGCGCGCCTTTCAGATTACTCCTTGCTTTTCACTAAAAATTGAATACAATATCTAATAATTTCACATAAGAATAAAATACTTTTCTGTTAACATTTTATTGTCAAAAGGCAATATCGCAGCTTACTCTCAGCTGGGCCAGATGGAGGAAAACAAGTCGGAAGCTACCATGATTCTTGATTTCAAAGAAAACAATTGGTTCCATGCTTCCACCTATTACGTGACTGACTCTGTAATTCTCCTACTGGTAAATGCTTCACCTTTCCAGTGGGTTTGAAAGGCCAGGCTAATGTCCCATGATGGAGACTCACGTTGATGCTAACAAGTTCAGAAAACAATCCAATGATGCCCACGTATTACATCAAATTATGAAGGCTCCCAAGTGACAACTCAGAATGAATCATTCACAGTTCACACGTCACTGCATAAGCCTTACATTTTAAAGAGCAGTGTGCTCTCTGGATTGCAGACATGTAGAAACCATGAGTCCCGTTAGTGTTTTATCACAGTATAGGTTAAAAAAAACCTTATTGACAGGTAATCTACGTGAAAAGTATCAAATGGTTTTATTTATCTGGTAACCGCCATAAATTACTGCTTTGGAAGGTGTGTTCGCAAAAGCACCTGATGCTACAAGAAATTCCCTTTGTACCCAAGACTTGCAGTACTTCCAGCCCCCAGCGTGGGCATCAAAACCATCGGCTAGCATCCACTCTCACCAACAATCCAGAAACAGAGAGGGGCTAGAGCAAGAGAGAACAGCAAACTGGAGAAGTGTGGTGAGGACTTCATGGCCTTTGCCATCAAGACCAAGGAGACAGAACTGAAAATGTTTCTGTTCATTTTTTAAACACAATTGGGGTTAGAAAGGTGGGTTATCACTAGGACGGGAAACCTGCAGATGGTTTACTTCTTTTGACAAGACACCACACCTTGAGCACCCCAGACTTCTCTCCATGGCCCCTCCAGCCTCTCAGGGAGGGCTTCTTTCTTCTGGTATCTTCTCTCTATATATTTGGCAGAGGTGTACACAGGGCTGGGTGAAAACAGCCTGAATCTGCCACTTAAGTTAAAAGTAGCCAAATACAACTGGTAACCGAGGTGCTTCCCACACTCGGGCTTGGACATCTTATTGATCTGCACTCCGATGCCTGATGCCCGATGCCCGTTAGCAGCAGGTAGGAGAGGGGCAGGGGGAGAGCGCCAAGCTGGCGAAGAAAAGGCGTTCAAAGCACCCGAGAGACAGAGAGCGAGCCAGGGCACCCTGGAATGGACGCTGCACAGTCCCAGCCCTGTCTCTGTGGGATGAGGAACTGGAGCAAAGGCAAGAAGGAAGAGAACAAGGACAGGGGCCGAAGGGGACTGGCTGTGTTTTCTGGCATTCCCTCCTCCACCTGTGGCCTAAAACCATGCGCGATGCTCAGAGGGGCCCAGGCAGGAGCAGCGCGCTGTTGTCTTGCAAGGCAGTGACGCGTGCAGGTGGAGAAAGACAAGGGACCAGGAAGTGCCCCCATTAACAGGAGCACAGGCTGGGAGAAAGCCGGGGAGGAGTGGAGGAGGGCAGGCAGCAGTGTGGAGACGGTGCCGGGGACGTGAAAATGAGGACGGCCGCCAGCTTGCTCACCGGACACTGCTCCTGGAACCCAGACGCGGGCAGGGGCGGCCGAGGCCGCGTTCCATGCCTGCAGCCAGCAGGTGGCCCCGAGTGGACACTCAGCCTACTTTGCTGCCCCTTTGGGCGACAGAGGCTACTGGAGAACATGTGCATGAGGCACAGCAGAGACATCACGATCATTACACTAATTTGCGGAGAGCGCGGCAGGAGGCCGACCTTCAAGATACAGACAGTTTGCTGAAAAGGTCTCAAACCAGATGCGGTTCGGAACTTCTGGCTGGACTTCAGCTGGATTTTAATACCACACTAAAAAACACACAGAACGTCTTCCCTGAAGAACACCTTTGTGTACAGGGTCGTTGCGGAGTCAGCCTTTATTCTGCACTCAAGCACATGCTTTCAGTCTTTTTCCACGGTTCTAGAGGGAGTGTCTCACAGAGGGCCAGCAGCTGGGAGCACCCAGGTGACAAACAGCAGGGCTGTGGCAAGAGCGTGAGCTCCTAGGTGCCTTCCAGCATCACTGCTGGAAGAGTGGAAAATGTCCTAGCAGGGCACCGGACACAGCCACGTGCTCAACACAGCACGACCTAATGAGGTGATGCTGACACCCTCCCCCAAAGCTGGACAGGGAAGCAGGGTAGCGGGAGTTAAAGGAGACCACGGTGCCGCCCTCCCCATGGTGCCCACGCACGAGGCTGACCCAGCCTTGTAGTCATCAGGTCTCTAGTTAGCAGCACTCGGGGCCATGGCAGTGTTCTCCCCTTATCTCAAACCACTTCCTGATCTTCTGCCCCAGGACATGTGAGAACAGAGGGAGGCGCAGGAAGGTGGCCCTGGCCCTGCCCATCTTCATGCAGCTGGCCACAGGCACCCCAGCCGGCGGGGGGCAGCTGCAGGAAACGCAGCCCTGGCTGTGAACTCCAGCTCTGCCTTGTGCTGCCCATGTGACTACAGGTAAGCCACTTAGCATCGCTAAGCCTCAGCTTCCGCACGCCAAGACGTGAACACCACCACCTCACAGGACTGTCCTGAGGACTAGCTCTGAAAGGTTTCTCTACCGAGAACATAACCTGATAGGATGTCAGGAACTGGGCCCAAACAGTCACCTCCATCGGGGTTACCAGTAACCATGAAGGGAGAAGCAGCAGAATACGTCCATCTTAAACAAAACTCCTGCTCCCTTGCCTGGTTTCAGACACTACCAAATTTTAAACCAATCATGACATTTTGGCATTCAAAAGCCAAGAAATCACAATGACCAGATTCTCAAGTGGGAACGGATAATAGGCATTTGCAAAGACGCAACTCTCGAAAAGGAGATACTGGCCACTCCAGTCTTCGTACGGAGACCGAAAGTTTGCTGGGAATCCGAGGAAAATGTGTACAGTATCTATTAAGCACAGCACTCTCGTGTGGAGGCGGGTGATGGCGGGGGAGGGGAGAGAAGGTAAGGGCCAACCCCATCATCACAGCCCGACCACATGCCTTCTGGAAAGTGGCAAGAGAAATACTCACTTCTCCATAGACTCTTAGCAGGTGACAAACAGGTGTCACCCAAAAAGGGTAGCAATAGAGACTGCTGCGTGGGACACCCTCTCCTGAAGACACATTTTCCTTTCTGAACTGCTCTCTTCTTTAGAACTGTTACTGTACTCTGTAGGGCTTCAATTACTTCAACAGAAAGCAAACACTGGCCTCAAAAGGCAGCATGTACCACACGAATTTACAAAGTCTGGTCCCGTTAGGCGAGTCCTTCCTGGACGGGCACTCCTGCCTGGATGAGAAGCCCCACCATATCAGAAAGAAATGCTACATCTATGTGGCAGTCTCTGATGATCAGTGCAGTCACAGAGAGACCCTACACCTGTTTGCTAGACCCCATGGCTCCCTCTCCCTCCCGTCCCAGTCTCCTCTGCACACTCTCCTGGTTTCCAGCAGTGGCTTTGTGACCTCCTGCTTGCTGTTCAACTCACCTGGGAGAAAAAGCCTTCCATGAGCTCTTCAACCCTAGATAAAGTGTTTCCACCTGGGTACGGGCCACAGCTCACACCCAATCCCCACCACCTCCCCCTCACAATTCTGTTGTAAAATTCCTACCTATCTCCATTTAGCAAGTAAAAATACAGGATGCCCAGTTAAATCTGAATTTCAGATACACAACAAATATTTAGTATATTCCAAATAGTGCATGGAAAATACTTAAACAACAAATAATTTTTAGTGTATCTGAAATTCAAATTTAACCAGTGTCTTGCACTTTACCTGGCAATCCTGTACCAGGCACACAGTACCATTCAGTTTTAGCTCCTAAAATATTTGGTACTAAAATATTTGGGTTCTAAACTCCAAAAGGACAAGGATCTCATGGAACTTACCCTCATTTCAGTGATATAAATCCTGTGAGAACATTCAGAAAATTATAATTAAAATGAGAGTTGTATGGTTACTTAAACATTAGAAGTACCTGGTGTAAAATTATTGAAAATGTATTCTCTGTCCTAAACTTCTCTTCAAAAATCAATGTGTAGAAGCTAACATTTGAAAAATGCTTTTGGGATATCTTTTTGGCAATTTAAGTGTGTTACACAGAATATTAGTCATACTTGGGAGTTTCTCTGGAACATCTGAGAACTGTAATGTAAACAACAAAAAAATTCTACCACCATCCATCACCAATCTCCACAATAAACAGGAAGATGCGACCACCTCAGTGAACTGAAAGAAAAAGGCCAACATTTGCAATATTTCCCTTTAAGAATACACAGTAGCCAAAAGCATTTCACAGAATGTTCAAAATTGAAAAAGCTGCACTGAGGATGCTGGAATGGAATTTCGTGTGTCAAAGCCCTGAACTCATTATGCCCCAGTACCTTAATACAAAGTCCCACTTCTCCCGAGCGCCACCCGAGCTCAGCCCCTTAGATAACCAGCTAACTTCTCCAGCAGGGATGGGGTGGATGGAGGAAAGTGTCCCCAGGGGCCTATGACCACTTTCACCTGGAAACACCCTATACCGAACACTTCCCTTCACCAGCAGCCCTTGGAGGGCTCAGACCGCGGGCACAAGTCACTGTGGTTACTAAGAACACAAGGGAAAAACTCACAGCACCACCAGGCAAGCTGGTGCAGGAACAAATGGAGTTGTGGGAAAGGGTCCCAGGCTTTCGACCCCACCCCTTGCTCCCCCTGTAGCTGTGGCACAGCCTCCAGCAGGGACGGAGCCCAGGGAGCCCTCTTACCAGTGTGTGTGAGCATGTGCCTCTGGAGGGAGCTGGCCCAAGGGAAGACCCGGGGGCAGTGGGGACAGTTGATCTTCTGCAGGCAGTTGGCATAGGAGTTCCGCTTTGCCCTCAGCAGCTTGTCTTCTGGGGGGCTTCCCTGCTCTTCATCGCTGGGCCCATTGTGGTCGGCGGGGACCCCAGCCACCTCATCCTGAGTGTCATCCTCTGCAGTCTGCAGAAATGGACTGAACTTGTTGGTGTCCGTGGTGGCCAGCATCTTCTCAATGCTGGCAAACTCCCCGCTGGAGTCTAGGTCCACCCCGCTGCTGCTGGCATGGGACCGGCTCCTGAGCACCTTCTTCCGACCCCTCCGCTTGGATGAGCCAGCCGGCCCCTGCTCGGTGGGTGAGGCTGCTTCTGGGCTGCTGGCCATAGGGGCTGGGTCGCTGGATTCTTTTGGGCTGGTGGTGTCGGAGGGGGTGGTGGCGACCTTAGGGATGGTGCTTCCAAAGCTGTCTGAAGCTGCAGTGTTACTGCTGGTGCTCGTGGGCCCTGGGTCTGCCACCTTGGTTTTCAGAAGGGTGGGGGCCGAAGACACGGATGAGATGATCTGGGCGATGGAGGCCAGTGGGGGCAACTCCTCTGTCACAGGGGGCTTTGGCAAGAGCAGGGGGGGCTTGGGCCGCAGCGGCCGCAGCAGGGCTGAGCTGCTCAGGAGGGCTGAGTTGCTTATGACGGTGGAGTTGCCCAAGAGCGGGGGGCTGTTCACGAGAGCTGAGGAGTAGATGGGGACAGCGAGCTGAACGGAGCCCTGCAGGGCCTGGGAGTGGGGCTCCAGGGTGGTGGCTGTTGTGGCAGGCACTGCAGGGTTTTCCAGGATCCCGTTGGGCCCCAAAGTCACCGGCAAGGCAGGGCAAGGTGGCAGACAGGGAGCGGGCTGCTCACTGCTCCCGGCTTCCTGCTCCGGCTTCTTGGCTTCGCTGGGGGTAGCTGCATTGTCTCCTTTCCTGAAGTTCTTAGGGATGGACAGGTCGATGGGCTCCATGGGGCAGTCGTAGGGGGCCAAGGAAGAAGAGCTCAGGAAGGAGGGGACGTTCTCCTGCTTCACTTGGACCAGGGCCAGGCCCTTCTGCGAGAAGTCCAGGGGCTCATTGAGGTCCACCGCGAAGCTGCTGGCGGGCTCCAGCTTGACCGAGACGTGCGGCGGCAGAGGCTGGGTGGGACCCCCGTGGAGAAAGCCATTCTGGGGCTCCAGGAAGGCGGCGAGGGGCTTGCGGTCGCCCGAGGCCGCACAGCCGGCCTCCTCCCCTCTCCCGGGGGCCTCGGTGGGTGGAGGC